ATTTCTTCCTTCGCAGTCCTGTTTGTAAGTGGAAAAGCCCCAGAACCAATGCGGGAATCAAAATAGCCTGAAATAGATTTTGCTAAAGCATTTTCATATGCAAACGTTTGATTGCGCTGGCCGCCTTTGGAGGTCACGCATGTTTACCTGTCGGTCATTTGTAGAGCACCTTGTTTTCCTGGCTCTTATTTACCTCGCAGCCCTTTCAAAAATTCAGATCTTTTCTCCATGTTCGCCTTTCTTGAAACCTGGGCATTGTTCTTGAACACTTTGTTGCTTCTGTGCCAAACAGGTTTTGATGGTGGAATCTTTATTTAGCCTAACGTTTCGACAAATTCGTCGTTATCAAAGGGCCACAACTCCACTAGTGTCAATGACCGCTCAGCCTCCTTCAGTGACTCGAAGAATCAGTAGAATAAAATTATAATTTTACTGTCGAAACGTTAGGCTAAATAAAATTCCACCATCCGCAACCTGTTTGGCACAGAAGCAACAATAGTGCCTCAGATTCTTGTTGTTTTTCACGTCTTGAATTGCCTCGGAGAATATTCTTAGACGTCGTGCCGTGCATGGCGCATTGCACACAAAATGGTTGACTTGATCTCGCATTAGACTTTTCATAATTACGGACTCAGCTCACACCCTTAACTGCATGGATTTCATTTCGCGGGGTGTTTCTGTTGTAGAACATTTTAAGTCCTTGAAGGGGTTTGTTGGACGAGCTTCTTACAGCCTGCATACGTGTTGAATGAACTGAGAGTCTTCATGAATGGTATCAGGCGAAGAGGATCCCAATTTGTTGCAGCTGCGTCAGCAAGAGGATGATGTGAAGCCTGATCAGGTACTGTTCCCAATCCGCTTCTCCGTGACAGGCCGTGAAAGGTGTTCCTATGTTCCTTTTAGTGATTGCCCCATTTCAGTCAAAGACGATCACGTTACGCTAGAAATTCGATTTCTGATCTGACCATCAGCTTCAACAACGGGATCCCGCACCGCAGCACCACAAACCGACGAGAGCGGAATCTGTGCAGCTTTCTAAGTGTTCCAAGTGAGAGACAGTTTCATTTTAAGTTTGAATGAAATCAATTGATTTCACCTGAAGTTCGAATCTGATTTACCAATGATTCCGCCACTTGTGAGATGACCATTTCGTCGACAGAGAGTACAGTGATCTCACCTTCAGGCGATGGTGCTCTCATGACCTTGCGTCGGCTGCTCCTCACATATCTATTGACTGCCTCGAACTTCGAATTCATCACATAAACGAACAGTTCGACGATCTCCAGCTGAGTACGATCGAGACTAGATCGATAGACATCACCTTCTGCAGGCCGATTGAACCCACTTCGACAGAGTCAGTTATCACTTAACAGTTTCGTTTCTAGTTGTTTAGCTTATTCTTCTAATTTCATACACAGAAACATGAAATTTTATATTATTAGATAATTAGAGACAACGGTAATCAAGTGGGCACGCCGATTTTGTGGTTACGGTAAGCGCGAAGTGTATGTACGTAGGACTGGTGACCACGTACACACACTTCGTGCTACTGTATCACGAAGATCGATGGAATAAGCCTCGGGGGACAGGAGGAGCACTTACGCGTCCTTCAGTGCAAAGCAAGGATCTCGTGCCAGGGAGGGAGTTGGGGAGGGCAGGAGCGGTGTCCTCATAGCGTCTCGTTACGTCATAGCAGTTGGCATCGTAGCCCCTTACATGCATTTTGCGCTTACCGTGCTCAAAAAATCGGCGTTCTAACCCGAGTAACATGGCACCCGTTTCGATGGTCATTGTGGCCCTAGTCAGTTCGCTGAGGGGCTGCAGTGAGGCCAGCGCATTTGAACAGTGATCATAAACAGACTACGTGGCGCCCCCTCTTGATAAAAAGTCTATGTCAAATGACTGTATCGACTTGCGTACGCCAGTTATCATCAGCTTTTTTCAGGCATATCCTCAAGCTACTGAGGAACATTTCCAAGAATCGATCGATCGAAGCAGTTCGTTTGTCGTCGGAAGTAGCTCAACCTTCTCCGTTCCTTATCAGCGACATCACTGAACTCTTTGATTCCAATCGAATTCGGCTGAGCTTGGATTTGTAGAGGGCAAACCACTTCTGAGGGATGATTCAAGGCTCAAAAGGCATTGGAGGAGAGACATTCATTCTCTACTTCAGTTTTTGATCATCCAGCAACAACTAACGCGTGTTTGTTTTGTATGTACATAATTCTTCAGTCTTTCAGTCTAACACGGGTCTCTTGCTTGTATTATTGCTTTATTGTTTTCACTATTGAATAAAATGTTATACCTAATTTTTTCGAGCATTCCAATCTTCATTCTAACTTCCTCTGACCTGACCTCCCTTATCTTGCAGACAGTTCTATAACACGGCACGACATTTCGTCGAAATATGCTTGCCTTTGTTCACCTTCAGATGTCTCGCCTACATCTGTCTGGCGCTCGAGCTCACTTCGAATGAACCGATAACATCCTCTAAAAGGTGTATACCACTATGGTGAGGGATTGAGTTAAAGGAATCTTCCACGGAAAGACTGCTTATCCTTTCCTTGTGTACAGGTGTTGGGCATGGTCATTGAAGACCATATGCAAAGTTCAGAGCGAAAATGATGAAACCCCCAAGAGAAACAGCCCTTGGAAAGACCCATCTGTGGGACCGGATTGGACCAGTAGGCGGGACCGGAAGTGCTTCTGTGACGAAGTGCGGATCCACGTGTCAGTTTATGGGAAGGGCCCAACATGAATCCAGTTCACGTTCACGCTTTTGACACGTTTGCACGTGTTGACTCCACGCCGCTAACAAGTTTTACAGCGGGAATTCAAAATTTTCATAGTCGAACTGGTTATCATAATTATTATCAAAACCATCGCCTATGTTCCGTTCTTTTCACGAATGGAAGCGAATGTTTCTCGAGGTAAGATTCCTTTAAGTATGCCAGATAAGCTCTTCAAAAATTATTTTGAATTGAAGGCAGTGTTACCCGCAGGTTGCGTAGCTCTAAATGAATATGCGTTCAAACTGAAATGCAGCTAGAGATGCCTAATTGCAGTTCCATGATCGGATATTGCCCAAGTTAGCAAAACCTCCCGCCCTGCAATGGTCTACTGATTGGTCTGTCTTCTATGGCACAGCTTTGAAAGGCACAAGTGGTTGACTGCCCAAGGGTTTATCTGTGCTGGCTGTATGCACATTCTAGTTTGCATTATGAGTGTGAAGGAACGGCATCACGAAACTGATTGACGCAAGCGCTTTACCCTTTTCACTACAAGACATGGCCAACATTAGTTCGTGACAATTGAAGAAAGGCCTGTGCTTACTCGTGTAATCTTTAATATCACCTTTGAAAGGATAAAAGGGTAAGGCATTTGATATTGACCAATCCGTTCTCCTTACCTTTTTATCCTTTCCATATCAAGCAAGGTGGTGCTCTTATCAGGTGTCATTGCTTTTTCCAGGCAGGTCTGATGTTAGCGTAGCGTACATGCCCAGAAGTGACGGAGGATGCGAGAGGCTCCAACGAGGTTGTTTCTGAATTGGTACCCCAGACCGTCATGTTAGAAGAGACACCGCTTTCTCTAGGCCATGTCTGCCTTATGATGCCTTTATCGAGGACAACAAACAATTGCTCAGAAGATTCGACTCCCTACTCGAAAGTGGAAACTCCCTCTAAAGAGGTTCTTGAGGGTTTCTGCGAGAATAATCAGGCATTCAGTTTCGGATGCTTCAAAGAAGTGAATAGATTATCTAGGAATCGTATAAATCTTTCTGTTGTGATTGTTTGAGTCCCGATATTGCCTGTGGTGTGACACTGCCCTAACCGACTATCTAAGGTCATTATTACGACTGACCTATGGCGAAAGGAGCCAGAGGAACTAAATCAGGCTCTTCTATTTCCTCCCTTCATACTCAGCAACTTTGTTGATTCCTCGTTTCCCGCATTCTGGGATAACTCTAATCGTAAGTAGTGAAGTATTTGTCTTCGCGTTCGCTCGCCTGCTATGTGCTAGCCATCTTTTGGGTAGCTAGCAGCTGTGCATTGTATTCGACAAGAAGATGAAATGGTTTCATTTTGACTAACGATCTTTTAAAGTTCCCCACGAATTTAGTTTTCAATCAAAGGCAAAGGCATCGTGGCACATATCATTTAATCTTCGAGTCCAAGACAAATATTTCCATTTCAGTAAGTGCTCAGCCCCTGCTTGCACAAAAAGGAGGGTCACATACCTCGGAGCTTACTTCTGCTGGGAAAATCGGAATGTGGGACTGTATGGGAATGTACAGCTGTAGCTTGGTCAAGGATTTAGATGATCATAATATGACGTGTGTTGTACAGAGGCCTCATGCCCCATTTTCAGTGCAATTTTAGGATTCGCGCATGGGAATGCTTTTCTTATTGTAGTCCTCACCCATATATAAAAATGAAAAAGAAATCTTCGTCTTCAACAGAACTTGTCAGCTTCTTCCCATTGCCTATGTTGAAAGTTACGTGGCGAAAGCATATGCAATAGAATGCAGTTACTCACATTTCCCTCACATTTTCTTCATCTTGCGCCTTGGCGACAAAGATCTAGGTAAGCCTTGTAGCCCTCTTGGTTCCATCGATACCGCCTGTTGGTTTAGTAGTCTGGAGAAATTGTCTTCAGGATTGTTTGGCTCATGAAAGGATCGGTCTCAATTGCTTTTCGACTTTTCAGGCTCTGACGAAGGCGAAGAGGCCGAAACGTAAGCCTAATAAAAAGTGCTGAAATCTTGGTCAGGCTACAGCAAAACTAATCACATTTTCTTCACTTTCGACCTAATGTGTTGAACGCTTCAACTTATAATTTCTTCAAAGTGTTAACAACCGGTTCACCAGTGACTGAGCCATCGATTTTCCCCAACCCATTTTTCTTATCAGTTTATGGTGACCATCTGACCTTGTTTCGTTTACTATTTTACGGACCGTTTGTAGCTTGACTGAAAGTTTTAACAAATTCATAATCAGATGATCTCGGATGACAAAAAGCTGCTCATTGGTATTGTTGGTGCTTCTGTTCTCACTTATGGCGTGAGTTTATTGTTCAGCCTTTCGTTATCAGTTATCAGTTCAAAAAAGCGAAAAACCAATTGAGATTTTTCAAGATAGCTTCTCGTTTGTGGAAATACCTGCACGCTCGCCCAGCTGCACTAGTACCTGTGGGAACAGTAAAAGAACTGTACGTGTATCCAGTAAAATCATGCAAGGGAATCAGTGTAAGCTTATTCGGCTTCTGTTCTAGCGAGCAATCTTATCGCACTTCTGCGTATTGCAGGTATTCTCGTTCTATTGTCACGAATTGGGGCCAGTTTCTGGCGAACACTATGACCGGCGATTCATCGTCATTGACGGAAAAAGTGGCCGGTGCGATACCATTCGGTCGTAATGGAAGAGCATTGAATTGACAAGCTTTGACCAAAGAATTGTTCAGGTTCTATACGGCTCGCCAAAAGCCTGTGATGGTTACCATTGAGTGCGAGATACAAGACGGAATCTTAACTTTGACGTCCAGAGACGGAGCTAGCGCAAAGGTAGATTTGGCAGAGGTGTCCCGGAAGAACATCATCAGAACTGCAACGTGAGTTTCTGCTTCAAACCTCCCTGAGCTCAGATGTTCAGCAAAACGAAGTAGGCCACCGTTTCCCTTAAAGGCAAGAATCAGGATTAAATTGATGGGGTGATTCCACTCAAATGTGAAAGTAGGGGTGGGAGGTGGACCGCCAGTGGAGAAAAAAGGAAAGAAAATCCTGAAATACACAGGAAATACGAGCATTTTGCTCCATGCTGTGGAGAAGTTCAAAAGACAGGCAGGGAGATGAGAGATAATGTGAGCGCGGAGAGTGGTAGAGAAGTCCGAGAAGAGAGAGCATAGCAGATCAACGTGGCGACGCAGACAAGATATCGAACGGTGGGCGGACCATGTTAAGTTTGGGTGGAGTCTGTTAGAAGTCCATGGCGCCTAGGGTCCTAGTGACGCGTTTCGATGTAGAAAGGTGGCGCGCCCTTTCGCACTTGTGTAACTCAGCACTTCTAGCCATGGTAAGGGCTTCTTAGGTGGGTCTAAGCCCTGAACTTTGCCTTCAAATGAAGCTAATTCTACAGAGCCTGCTTCAGCAAACCTGAACATACAAAGTTCAAAAGTCACCAGAATTGAAAGAGTGATGATAAACTTATGCAGTGATGCGCAATATAATGTGTAGTTACTTTTGTTGCAGCTTGTTACTGTTTTAGTGTTTCGTACCCGACTACTGATCGAGGCGACAGAGGCCGTGTCGGGACACAGCCTATCCCAGAGCGAATGCGTGAAGAAGTTTGTGATTCTCCTTCGTTATAAGGGCAGATGATTGATGTAGAGATTATCTTTATCTGTAGAGGATATTTCTGCCAAAGAGAGGATATCAGATTTTGAATTCAAGTTCTACTTTGTGGATTATCTTTGAATAAGAAAATTCAGCGCTTTTTGTTGGAATTTTTAAAAAATTTGCTAGTGATCACTGTAAAAATTTTTGAAATAGGGGGTTTATAGGAGCTGAGGTTTGACTAAATTTTCACTCACACGCGAACGCGATGGGCGGCGCTCTGTTTGTTTGCTCCTCCAGGGCTTAGTCCACAGGAAGAGTTACTCTTTCGACATTATTGTGAGCAGCTTCCTTGAAAAACGCGCCATAGGTGAATAAGCCTCGGTAGAGCAGACGAAAACAGCACCGCGCCATCGCGTGCCCCCGAACCCCAGTTTCACTCAAGATAGGATTCGACGATAAGAACAAAGCTCGAAGAATGGGAAACTTACCTAAGGAGAGAGAGGCGGACCTTTATAGGAAGCGGTCGGGGCGACAAACAATTTGCATCGGAGCATGAATCGGCGTGGCCCAGCAAAGGGGATTTGTCGCTGCGGCAATAGGGCAGAGCCAGCGGACGAGTCGCAGCGCGTGATGTGCAGTGTAGGACGTACGATGGTGATCTATTTAAAATTTCGCGAAATCACTAGACTCGTCTGCTGACTCCGCCTTCTTGCCGCGCGACGGGCCTCCTGTCAGGTATTACCAGAGTGGGTCTCCGGCGGATCTGGCCTTTTCCGCGCGCCGCTATATAGCGCGCTATCGGCGCCGGCGTGCGCCACTCTCGCTATCTGAGCCTCTAGTCCGCTCAGCAGAAGAGAAAAGAGGAGCGGTTTCAGCACTGAGGGAGAGCATTACCGATGATGGTGGCATCAGTGCGGGAATATTCACGGGCAGAGAAAGAGCAGGTCCCCTTTTTCGGGGAATCGAGGGCCGTTTTTCTTTGTTTTTTTTTTTCCTTCGTGCATCATAAGATCTCCTGGCCTAAATTTTAATGGCCTGACCACTTTTTACGACGAAGAGCTGACCTTTCGTCGTAAAAATCCGCCTTTAGAGCAGCATTAGGTGCAGGAGTGCGAGAGATATCAAGCTGGATATGGAGCTGCAAGAGCTGGATACAACGGCATGTCTTTCAGCCGGTCTTCATTGGGCAGACCTCATCTGTGTGGGATCGGATACCTTGCTTGTCCTTCTTTTCTACATGATTGCGACTCCTTTTTCGCATTTTTGAAAGCAGTGACAATACTGACAAGAAATGCTGTAGTGTTAAGCCTAGGCGAGCGGCACTTACACTAGTCAGCGATTCCTGAGTGGATCAAACATTGGAAGACTTCAAGCCCAAGCGACGAACATACTTAGGAAGTTCGCGCTTTCATTACATTTTCTACACAGGTAATTGTTCAGGCTTCATTCCAATCTGCGCACTGATGGTCTTGACTGTGGCGACGAGGCGGCCGAGTTCTTCTCAAAGGCGCTCTTCGAACCAGGTCTGATTTCAATGCATGACAGGGTTATCATCATTAATCAAAGCGTTCGCATTCCAGATGCCCGTCTTCTCATGTATGTGGATGGTCTGTTCACCGAAAGAACATGCGTCACACATCCCGACTGGTGGAACAATAATGTTCCTAAGAGGAGAGACAATGTAATTTGCTAAATCATACATCTGCGCAATCATACTTTACGTTTTCCTAATAGTTTATTGCCAACTATAAAAATTATGCTCATTTTACACGTTTCCCTCCCTTCCTTTAGGCTGCTTTCATAGTTCGCATTCGCGTTTGCGCGGGTGCGCCAGAGTTCGCGCCGCACCGACGGCACTGACGCACCGACGGCGCACCGACAGCGTGAAGAGCGTCAATACGCACTCTGGCGCATGACGCGAACGTTGGGCGCAGATCGCGTGCTCCGATCGATAATCCTGGTTTTTGGTGTATTTCTTGTGCTTTTCGATGTTTTTTTTCGCGCCGTGTTGCTTTAATTCGTGTGTTTCCTGTTCATACTTATTCTTTTATGGGCGCAATGTGGCTCGGGGGGGGGGGAGTCGGTGCGCGGCTCAGCGATGTAGTGTAACTCGAACATTCCAGCTTTTCACGGGACATTTCAGCTTCTCACGCATGCTAAGTGACTGCCCTCACCCCCTTGAATTGGCCACACCCCCTGGCTTGCGAATTTCCTGTTGCCGCAACGCCCGCGCGGCGGCTGCCCCCCCCCTCCGAGCCACATTGCGCCCTTTTATGTCTTGATTAATACTTTCCAGTTGTTCCGCGGGCGAGCGACGTCGTGAACCCGTCGCACAACTCCGGGTGGATGTGGCCATACCGGGTGTGTTGGTCGTAAGCAATTTTGTTTATTCATATGAAGTGAGTGCAAAAAACATCGAAAAAATACAAGAAAATACACCAAAACCAAGATTATCGACCGGAGCGCCCCATCTGCGCCCAGCGCACGCGTCATGCGCCAGAGCGCGTGTTGACGCTCTTCACACTGTCGGTGCGGTCGGCGCCGTCGGCACCGTCGGCACCGACCGCACCGATGCGAACTATGAAAGCAGCCTTACTGAAGAGCAATACTAGGGAAGGTACTTTTTCAGTTTGGCTTCCGTCTAAGGGCACATGCGAAACGGAAGTCGAACTAATTCTTTGATTAGTCCCCCCCCCCCTGAAAAGTTCTAATTTCTATGTTTTTACTCAATACTATCTATTTTATTTGTTACCCTTGTTGGGGAAGAGTGTTTACATAAGTGTTGGTTGACAAAACCATATGACTCCAGTTCCTCACATTTCGATTTCAGTGCGCCTATGCTGACCTTGCGCCATACATGATTACCACACAAGCTTCTTTGGATGATCTCAATACCAGACTGGAGCACGATGTGAGTTCTCCAATACTTTGAATAAGCGGTTTTTAATCCATACTAAGTGTTAGAATCGCAATGGGGAGAATTATTTATCACGAATTCTTTCTCCATCAACGTACCCATCAAGAGTTGTTTCATCTAAGCTACTTCTGTAGGAAAACTTGATGTTACTTGGGTTCACGAAATAAAATTGCATTAATTTTTGAAATAAAGCTAAGCAGTTTGGAATACAGATTCACAGACTGTTTGCCAACAGAATTGGTCTAGGATTCCAAGATAAGAGCGGAGATCCATGAAGTGGAAATATACCTCGTTGAAAGGCATGCCGTCCCTAGGATGTGAGAGGATGCGTGTTTTGCAGCGAAGGATATGTTGCAGCGCCTTAGCAGGGCCATATCTGCGCACTGCCCGCCCACCCTCTCGCCGTCTGACTCTAGCCGTTTAGCAGAGAGAGCGTTAGCGTTGAAGAGGGCAGCACCGATGAGTCGCATCAATGCGGAAATCAAGGACATAGAAGGGATCTCACTTCTCGTGCCTAGGCTTCTCTCATTGTTATTCTTCATCCCTGCGCCACTGGTCAACTCTACCCTGATTTCTAATGGGCTGTCCTTTCATTGTAAGCTGCGCCTTCAATCATAGTAGCAGGACCGATAAGCCATGATCAGGTACTAAGGGCGAGTGCTCAACCATAAGCGTTATTTTCCCTAAGTTAGAATTGATAGCCCGTTGTAGATCGGTAAAAAAACGTTCAGCGAGTTTAGTCAGAAGATTAAATTTTGTGATTGATAGCGAGGAATGGTCAATGCTATTTCTGGATGATGCCCTGGTGGAAGTTCCTCCACTGTTGGCTGTGTGTCTGGGAATGAAGATGGCAGGGAACCAACTATCATCTTGAGAACGAGGAGAGGAATAGTGTATGATTTAATAGTGCTGTTGGGAGAACTGTCACGCGGGTTCTGGTACGATATTGTTTGATTTTGATATAATAAAGGAAAGGATAAAGCATTTGCCGTTGATCAATCCCTTTTTGGGATGCGGCACGCATTCTACTTCCATTTGTACATTCGTAGTGGCGTTTGAATGCGATGTGGCCTATACAATGACTTGCGGGGGCCAGCCGATGTACAAGTCAGTGTTTTTTATCCTCCCAGACAAGTCTGGTACCAATTAACCGACCCCGGAGGGATGGAAGGCTTGGTTGGCCCGGGCGACTCACGACCCAGGATTTGATCCCGGACCGCTCGCGTGGTAAGCGTGCCACTTGCCACTACACCACTTCCGCCCAATGTATGATAATGAATTTTGGTAAATGCACGTAGTATTGTAGAATAAGTTCACTGCAAAGCAGAAATGTCCAACAATTAATTGAATAAGGTTAGAAGTGCGATAATAAACAGCAGCATTCACCGTAGATCTTGGTGGAATATCTATAGGAAGACTAATTCGAAGTAATAGTTGCTAGAGAGACCTCCGAGCCGCCATTCATACCCCTCTTTTCCCGCTTGATAAGGGTGATAGATGTGACCACTCTGATCGACACGATCTCTCTTACATAAGCTGGTGTTAGGCTTGCTAATCGAATACGAACAATTCCCGTTGGCGATTTGTGTATCGATTTCACCGATACAAAATGGTCTCCAGTATCAATTTTTTAGATGAGAGCCTGTTTCTACTCTTCTGGATTCCTTATGAGAATACTTGCATAACCTGGCGAACTTGAAAAAAAAATCAGAGCTTCGTACATAGCCTCAAATTCTAATCCAGATCACGAAGCTGTAACGAAGCGATTGTGGACTCCGACTAACGAAAACCATGCTTTAAACATGGGTAAACAAAATTTTGAAAAAAAAAGAAAAATATTGGGACGCAGGCTGAGCTCCAAGCTCAAATGTGCTCCGATGTCAAGACCGCGCTAAAGGTTCAATTGATGACGATGACTTCAAAAACAATGATTCCAGGTGTCGAGCAAGAACTTCCGTCCCGTGATAGTAGTAGATCATTGTGCTGCTTGGATGAAACAAAAATGGGTCATCTCCAGATAGGGCACTACGCCTACAGTGCTTCAGCCATGCACGAGGTAAACTCACTTTCATTCTGGTAAGCCTGCATGATTAAAACATTTTAGATGTATTCTGACCCTGTGACCGACGACTGCCTGAAGAGCAGCGACTGCAGGCAAGTTATACGAATTACGGCAGTGAGTTGCCAAATAATACTAATCATTTGATGTACCTTTTATGGTCAAAGTGTTCAGGTTTCGTCTTGCACCAAAGGGGCCAATGCGAGAACAGTTCAAGGACAAACCTATCTTTGGAGTGAATCGTCGTGTGTGACAACGGATTCGTATGCTAATGATTACGTTTGTTTTCAAATTTTTACAAAGGCCATTTTAGGGATACATTCATGTGGGACAAACAGTATACGCACGCTACAAGAAGTCTGCGTTCTGAGTTCCTTGCCAACTAATTTGATTTGGTCGTATTACCTCATAACTCAATAAAAATCTTTCCGCATCTATTTTGCATATTGTTCAGAGATAGTTTTTCTCGGAGGTTAAAGTGCTATTATCTTTCATAAGATTGTTTGATTTTATTGTTTTTTCTTCGATGATATTAAGGTCAAGAGTTAAGATGGATGATCCAGGGAGCGCAATCAACCAGCTATTTCTGGACATGTGCTATCAGGAATGCGACGGATGTATTATATTTTATATGCAGGTTGGGCGCAAAATTATGAGGACCAGACTTAAAGTCGCCAAAAAGCATGTAGCTTGATAGGGCAGAAAAGAAAAATAAAAAAGAACACATTAGGATAGTGTTTGCAATTCTCTGTCTCAAAGTAGATCGGATAGATTGATCTGCCACTGCTGTGTTTGGCGCAGCCATGCAGAACGAAGGTGATGGTGAATGGCGGTGACAACGCAAATAAGAGGTTCAAATCCAGGCCTCTCTGATTGCCTCCTTCAGGGGATCGCAGTTATGTGGGGTTTTCATTTCCGCTTGCTTCAGGGGTACCATAAAGAAAATCCAGGCAAATCAGGTGGACGGTTCCCAGGTAACAACTATTCGGAAGCAGTGACCATGAAAAATCTGCATAATGCTGGAGTTCGCTTCTTGCAGAATTTTTGGTTTATGTTTGAGTGCTTGGTCCTGTGAAAAGTCCCAATTAGAAGACAGACTGCAGAGAGAAGGACAAAGTCCATTCTAGGGACTTTTTTATAACACGACAGCTGTAAGCGTCTTTAGTGTCCAGTCTGGGTTATTGTATAAATTTTCTCAACATTTGGGGTGGCGAAGTTTGGACAAGGAGGAGAGCGGGTTTCTGCATCGAATAAATGTGCTGGCCTTCGACCGCATTTTCTATCTGTGGTGGTTCCGTACTCATTGAAGCATTCAACCGTCGCCTATACGAGCTTTCCTGCCACGTTGAAGTGCTGCTATGATAGATGTAAGGTGCCAGAACCCCCTGTTCGATGGGAACAAGACATCACATCCTATTACATAGTGCACAGGAAATAAAATGGAAATGTGGAAAGTCGGAAAATAGGAATAATATCGACCACACACGCTGTTCATGCATATCGATTTCTTGGCCATGTAATTGATTACACGAGTGGGGAAATTTTGGTGCACCAATATTTTTCGTTCATAGAGACTAACTTCCTAAACGTATCGCAGGTAGCATCAGTTTCTTTTTCATCATTTCGTCCTTAGGAAATCAAATAATGCCTCATGAATGGGTTCAAATTAGACCAAATGATAGAGAAAAATTTTTTCTCCGAGACAAACTTGACTTGAAATTATATCAGTCTAATTCAGAGGACTGGAAACAGTCGTCAAAATTGATGAAGTTGGGATCTGCTCTCTCGATCTCCTGGACCACACTCTGGCGGTCTGTGTTCGACAGGTAAATCCTCTGATGATTACACCAGTAACCTTTTCCAAATTGAAAATACGGCTCATAGTTTTTTGACAAATAATGAGTTTGAACACTGTTTGAAAAATTTGAGAATGTACGAAAGCGTGTTTGCTTCAAATATTCAATACTACTTTGTTAGTCAGATGCATGCCAGTAGCTAGTATGTTGAAGCAGTACATCTTAAAATATAAAACTGAAAATAGGAATATTAGAAAGTTCAAAAGATGTAGGTGCACCAGTAATTTTGCCTTTACTATGGTTGAACACAAGCGGGCCTTCGTAATTGCAGATATATCACAGGTGACGAAGGGATTGAGAATGGTCGAAGTCACGTATGTTCTTGATGCCCTTGATGCTGTCGGATGCCACGTGTGCTAGTACAAGAAAAGAAATTTTTAGGACATCGCAAAGAACAATAAATAAAGATCAGGTCTTAACGACTGATCATATTAGAGAACAATAATAGACTGGAAATGCTTGCATATATTAGAGCTGTTGTATGTTAATTAACCAAAAGGCGCGGATTCCTTTCTCATTTCTATATTCTTTCAAAAAACCTAGGTAAAGTAAACAAGAGAAACACGTAGAAATAGAACTGAAAGTGAAAAAATTGAGAAGCTTAATACACACAGAACTACATCAATACGTGCAGAACTACAATGGATACAAAAAGAAGAGAAAAATAAGTAAGAAATACTACGGTAGGCAGTATATGAGACACTTACACGAGTTGTAAAAATATTTTGATAAGTATTGAAGCTTTTCAAGATGTCTTGCAAGCACAGCACACAAGCTCGCCTATCCGGCCACCTGTTTGCTTATTGCTTTCATTAGCTAGGATTCCAATTTCTTAAAAAAGAAAGTTTTTCTCAGCCTCTTTCTTCATGATTACATACCGATTAGGATAACCCATGCACCAGCCACATGGAGGATTACACTGGAGAGAGTTGAGTGCATGCTCTCTCAATCCACGGCCCATGGGTGGTTACATCTACTCAGTGTTCTCTCCTTTTATTCGAAGAGCATCCACAGTACAACCACCCCGTGACTGGCAATCTTGATGCACTATCCGGCGCTACTGGCAAGGAATCTAAACAACCTAATCGTCATTTGCCAGAGAGCTTCTGATGCGATACAAGTAAAGCACCGATACAGTTCCACAGCGTCGTAAAGAATTGAAAATACGAAGTTTTTTGTTTGAAGTAAATGGAAGAGAAACGTAAGAACCAAATTCTTTATTTCTGAGTCGTTTCGAACTGCGCCATGCGAAATAAATTGGAGAAAATTGGCTGACTCTCCGTGGTCAATTTCATTCAGATTTCCTCCGTGTCAGCACTAACCTTGTGCTAACGAACAACCATATCCGCTCTTCTCTACTCCAACTTTTGAGTATGCTTATTTGATCCCATGTGTCAAATCACATCACATTTTTTCGACGATGAGAACTCTAATGGAATCATATCGAGAAAGAGCAACACTTGCCCTCAGTTTTGCGATAATGTTAATTATAATGGTGATATGCTATGTTAAAGAAATCGTCAGAGAATTCCAATAACTGAGTTGAAAAATGTCCAAAATATCTCAAAAATTATATGCCAACTTAATAGATTGGGAAAAGATAAAAGACTCTTGAAAAGTAATGAGATAGAAAATATTCTTATATAAATACCTAGAAAATACTTATACTACATGTTAAAAGAGAAGAATATTGAAGAGTAGTACTAAACTATGGAGCTATAAGTAGGAACCATACAACCTGGAATGGGGCCATTCAAACAGCAGCATCAGTGCCTAAAACTCCTCCGTATATCAGGTAGTATCTTTCCAGGGTGCAATAGTGGTAGGGTGGGCACGCCCAGCTTTTCACGCATGTCAAGTCCTCACCCCCACCCCCTAGATTGGCTACACTCCCCCTGGCTCACGAATTCCCCGATTCTCGTGACAGTATAGTAGCGGGCAGCAGTCCCACTTACATACATTTCTGTTCAAAAAATGCGGCGTGCCCACCCTACTTGTATAGCACCCTTTCCAGAATTGTGACTCAACATCACGACACGAAGGGGATGGCTAATGGTTTGAGTACACATATGACAATTTGATGGTGGTTCACCACTGTTGCGAAAAATGATCAATAGGTGATGCGTGCACAATCTGATAAGGTCGATTCCCCAGATACATGGTCGCAAAAACCTGGAATCGATGAGCAAACAGATCAGTGATACTTCAACTTTTCGCTCTTATCGTCGATAACCAACGGTCGACTTTGTAACACACAAATTCTACTTGTGGCTCTATAACTCTAAGGCCACCAAATCCTCTCAATCTCCGTTTG